TGCTGGCAAGATTATAAGAGACTTTCTGGCTTTCTGGGGAGCCCAGTCGAGAGGATCTGTTATTATTTGGAAATTATTTTAAATATATGCGATGTGAGTGGCCCTAACTCACGGGGAATCGGCGCTTGGGGCATCCGGTGCGTGAATTGTGGATTTTGAGGTGTGGCTAGGAACTGTAAGAACCGCAATCTCTATCACGGCCAGCACGAACAATTGGGGCAATTTAACTACCAAATAAAAAGGAAAAGTAATCTGAAGATGATTCACGCATCTCGAAAAATAAAGTATCATCAGGACTATATTATTACACTATACCTATACCAAATACGAACCTGAACGAACAGTTATGAGACACTAAAATATGCGAATATAATCTACAATTATTTCCCTGCCGACAAATTTGGGATCATTTTTTTTAATAACAAAAAACAAAACCGAAATGGATCAAATGTATGATACTTAAGTATGGAATTCCAGAAATTTCAAAGACATGGCCATAATTGCTTGCCAAAGTGGATGTGTTGCTATTGGTTTCTTATTGCGAAGCTTTTCGTTTTTGTGAACAACATTCCGTGATCCCAGTTCTCTGAAAGTATTTTTAGCGGAATTCGTTTAATAGGATTTCCAATAAAAAAAAAAGGAAACATAAAAAACATTAACGGGAGACGTAGACAACCCTTCAAAACAATAAATAAAAACAGGAATGAAGTATTTCGAGTCGTATAACTGCAATTTCTCTACCCCTGTTCCCAAACCCTTTCCGTTCTTTATGTTTTTTGGTCGTCCCTTCCGGCGACTGGGCCGGCAAATGAAGGTCAGCTTAATTATGCATTTGCCAGCTGACAGACAGGCCGAGATGAGGAAGGAGATGCGTTTCGTTTTGGGAGCCAAATGCCCGGCATTCCTGGCAATTAGTTGCATAATTTTCTACGTCAAGAAAAGGAGACGAGAAAAATAATTGAAATTGTTTATAACTCGATGGGCAATCGAAATTGAACGAGAGCGAAACAATGGAAATGAATAATTCCCAAAGGGCTATTAAAAACATGCCAAAGGAGCGAGAGCGACTACCAAAAGTGGCAACAGCGCTCGATGAATCAGTATGAGAAGGCCAGTTTCAGGGAAAATCAAAATGTATACAATACATTATGAAGCAACTATGGATCGCTTCTGCGAAAGCCAGCCAGCGATACAAAGATACATTTTAAAATGTTAAATTGAAGAATCGAGCGGCCAAGGCGGCGGGACCAGCGGTACAGTGGAGACTGGCAGTAACCATAAAAAGGTATTTAGCAATTTAGATTCACTCGACGTGCACGCCGTCCATGTCCGACCATGGGCAACGTGCCCGCGATTCAAGACACTACGTTCAGCTTTGGGCTCCCTCTCCTGCTTTGGCTCCTGCTCCTGCTGACACGGCGGTTGTTGTTGCAGATGAGGCTGTTGTATCTGCTCCCAGATGTTGTTGTAGTCGGCAGTGTATCGCACGCTCCGATCAAGCCGCTGATTGCAGCCGAAGGGGATGGGATCAGTGATGCCCACTGTGATCTAGGAAACATTCTATAAATCAGGCAATTACAAAAAATGTCTTGGAGATGTCCATTTCAGTGATGACTTGATGGTTTTAGCAATACCAGCCCCTAAGGACTTTCCTAAAAGTGGTAGTTGTACCTAAATAAATAAATAAGTTTAAAATCTTTGAAACCCTTTTATTCAATTCAACCCCTGTATTAAAATTAAACCAAAATTCAGCTGAAAAATGGCCAAGATACCTGCACTAAGCCAAAGCAAAGTGTAGAGGGGGCAACAAGGACTGCTTTGCTGGAAAAAAAATGAATTGCTTAGCGCTTGCCCAAAATGGTCCATGGCATAAATTCCGAATGGGAAACGCATCAATCAACGGGCCAGGCACTCGCACTGGGAAGCCAGGGACTTTGGCTGCAGAGCCCGACAGTGTTCGTGATGATATTGCCGGGGAGATTAGACGACGACAGCAGCTACAGCAACAGCAACAGAAAGAACAACAACCAGCAACTCTGGCAATGGCAGCCAAAAATTAAATAAGAAAAGATAACAACTAGGCATGGCCCGAGAATACGTGGAACCGCAAACAGAATGGAAAGCGGAGCCATGCAGAGCGGAGCGGAGAGGCATGAGATTCGAGCCAAGAACAAATAGTCATCGTTGTCATGGGCAAGCGGATTAGCTTACCTTGCCTCTCCTTATGGCCTGCCCCGTACCTTGCCACGTCTTACCTGCGCGAATGGACGACAACTGGACGTGGCAGCCGCTCCCCTGAGCCGGGCTAAAAATTTACGATTTTAGCACAGATTGTAAAGTAAATTTTCCTGTTTTTATTTCGAATTAACAAGCGGCCCAGACAAACAGACAAGCCAACTGCAACAGCAACAGCCCAAGAGGAGACAAAAAAGCGAAGATTATTTGGTATCACGATCTCTATGTACTCTGTATTAAATATAGGGCTTGGAATATTGATACAAGGAATAAGTGTGTTGATGGAAACAATTTACACAGATTCTATTGGGATGGATTTAGCTGAAATAATTTATTTCCTCTTTTATAAAACTGTGCTATTCTAGGCAGAACTAAAAACTTCTTAAGAAAGAAGGACATTGAACGATTTTTTTTTAATCAACCATCCAACCAAGTAAAAAATGAATATACCCCTTAAGCCTGTGGAAGAGCCTGACATTAAAAACGAAAGTTTCGTGCGGACATCGAGGAATAGAAGCAGCATAAAAAATCTTCTTAAGTAGAGGAAGCAGCAGAAGCCATGCAACGCAACCGGTTCTCCCTCTCGCTCGCACAAGCACCACCACTACTACACTAAAACTCACACACACACACCCCTCACACCAGGCACATCGGTTACTTAATAATGCAAACAGGTTTCCTTTCCTCCCGGCTTCACTGTACCAAGCAGAACCAGAGGACTGTGACTTTAACAGGAGAAAGGCAGTTGAGTTATGAATTCGATATGCCAGGGCCAAAGAAAGGAGCTGAGAAGGAAAAAAACGATGACAGAGATTAGAGGAACAGGAAATGTGGGCTGGTTCGATTTAATGAGTGAATGCCAGAAATCCGAAAACTGCAGATCAAAGGAATGGCCTAAGGGATCACAAAAGAATAAAGGCGACTGTTATCGGAAACTGCGTTTAAATGGAAATTGTACAAAATTATAGATTTCTTCTCATCCGAAATTTGATATTCAAATCCGTTTTAAGCTGGGGTGTTTTAGGTCCTTGCCTAAAAAAGAAAATTATTGTTTCTCAAATTCTTTTTAGTCCTTAGGTTAGTTTTAAACTCTCGTAGTAGTCATATTTTGCTAAAAAGTAATAGGGATCAAGTTTTCCTCAATAAACTGCCTTGTTTGAAGAAATATGCCCCGTAAAGTAGGCAATGGTTTTTTTTTTTATTGCTAATTAGCAACTACCATTGTCCTTGTTTCTAAAAAAGGTTAATTCTTTCGTTTCGGAGCATCTATTTTACAACTTTTAATAGTAGTACTAGTACTTTTACTAATACCATTAACTAAATTAATTAGTATTGGTACATATTTCATTGGAAATATAAAGACTGACAGGAAATAAACTACCTAGCCAAAAGTTTAAAACAAGCCTTTCTATCTAGAATATTTAATTTGCCAATTTACTTCCACAATTACTACTTGGGAACCCAACGTAGTTGGAGCTGCTCTTGGAAAATTTTCTGTAGCCTCTTTTGGTGATTTTTTTTTGCCTGTTCGTTCGAGCCATGGGTAAAGCGGCTGTTTTTCTAATTCGAGCAGTTTGGTAATTTCCAAATTGGAGGCCCGTAATCAAACTGTAATGCGGCCGACTCGTCATTAAGCACGCAAACACTAGCAGCAACAACTACAACATCAGTTGCAAACAAACATATGCTTGGAAACAAAAAAAAAGTGGAAAAGCTTTGGAAGAGAGGCAGCCAGACAGTCGTCTCTCACACACCCACACAACCGCATGTTGCAAGACATACGGACAAGAGCCCCCAAAACAGCTGATTCGTTATCAGCACTCCGCTGAATAGCCCCAAAGAGAGCGAGAGAGCACGAGCAAGGCCCCCAGCAGCAACAACAATGAGGTGAGAGAAAAGACGCGGCGGCTGCTGCTATGGCAACGACCTTCCTTGTTTATTACAATGTGTGTAATTCTGTCTGCCTCGCGCTTTCTCGCTCGCACCTCCTCTGGCCGTGTGTGTGGAGGCGAGACGACTGCGAGTGCCCTTTCCCGACTTAAATTGCCAACTTTTTAGTGCAGAAATGTCTGCAATTTAATGTTGCTGTCTGTTTGCTTTTGTGTTTATTATGCTTTTTTTGGCTGCAGAAGAGGCTCTCATTGCGCAGTTTTGTGTTCGAAACTAGGGATGTTCAGGGCGTTGTATTTAAATAGAACCGTTAAGGTGTTTTATTTACCTATTCACCTTTTGCCGAACCATCTTCAGTGTCGACTTTCCCTCGTATCAATAAATAGCCGTTCTCTGCAGATACTGCTTGATAGATTTAGTACCTTTTGATTTTAGTGCAACTCAATTAGATCCCAACTCGCTGTTAACCCCTTTCGGCCCCATCTGCCTTTTACGAGCCCATAAAGCTGCTCCATAAAAAATTAAAGCAGGGCAGCATACAATAAAATCGTATTACAAAATAATGCTCTCTCGCCTGCCCACCAGCAGCTCTCTCTTGCTCTGCCGCTGTGGTTGTAAAGATGGCCGCCGTAAGCACGCACACCGACACACATTTTCATGCAGTGAGAGCAAGTAGGAGAGCGGCCATATGCTTCCATTGAATGCAATTGGCTCTGCCGGCAGCAAGACAACAATAACAAAGCGGCCTGGCCTGTGTGTGTGTGTGCGTGAGGCTCATCAGCTGTGCGGAACAGGGTTATTTGCGGTAGTATTGGTGAGAGCGGCAGCGAGAGCGTTAAACGTCGGCAGAGGGTTCCAAGTGTCGTTTGAAACCATCAACAACATTCACTTCTCAGAGCTCGACTTGAGCAGACGGAGCCTGAAGATATCGCGAAAAAATATTAAATAATCACCAAGAACAAGAAGTGAAACTGACAGAAGTGCGTTTTGCTCATAAAATCGCATAAGTTGTTGAAATTTTTTTGTGATACAAACTGTCTAACTGAAAAATAAAATAGATTGAGCCGAAAAAGCCAAAGAACGCGACCGACAGAAACAAAAATAAAACGCGTCTAGCCGAACAGCTGTTCCGCGTCTGCAACTCGCTCTCCAACGCCCACTCGCGCGCGCACTCTCCACATTCAGCGGAGCTCGCTCTCGCCCCACCAGCACGAACCAGCGCCAGCACTCAGCCCCAGCAGCGGAGCAGCATTAACAGTTTTGAAATTTGAAATTTTGTTATCGCGCAAAACTGAAATCGCTGGTCACCGCGGACGGACGTGTGCGGAACTCTCTGCTCTTGTCGTGCGAAGAACGGAATAGAAGGAACCGACCTAGTACCGATCGAAATCGAAAGGCAGACCAAGGAGTAGAAGAAAGTTACATAGCTGTTGGCCAGCCAGCGAAAGCGATTGCGATTACGGATCGAATGCGAATTAAACGGATCGCGGCTTAAAGACTGAAAAACACACGTGGATTGTTCGTTCACACACCCTCTCACACCCCCAAAACACTTAGCCACTCACACACAAAAAACGGAAACGGCAGCTATAACTACTGTTCGCTGCATTTATAAAAACAAAGACTGATTAAAACGCTAAATATTTACAATAAACGAAACAAAGTTAAACACGCGAACAGCAAGCTAAAATACAATACGGGTTTAAAGCGAATTCCAAAGCAAAAACATATGGATTAAGGTTCCTCCTCTCAAGCAGAAAAGTAAAATCGAAAAAAGTTATAAAACTCACACACACTCACGGATTACCTGCAGCAGCAATTTACCGTTAGCCGCTCTTTTTGGATTACCAGTGCCAAAAATAAAAATATAAAATAAATTATAAAAAACAAAACACAAGCAAAAAAAAAGTGAATTTGAAAATTTGTATTTTTTCGAAAGTGAGAAAAGAAGCTAAACAGCAAAAGCAAACCCTACAAAATGCAAAAATTCTAAACGAAGCGACAAAGCAACCAAAAGCGATTTCTGTGTTACATCGACAAGAAGCTTAAAAGCAGCTACTAGCACTCAGCAATGACGATGGCCGCTTGCTACGCCAACTACGACATGTCGTCCCTATCGCACGGCATGTCCGCCCTTTCGGCCCTGCAGCAGCAGCAGCAACAGCAGCAGCAGCAGCAGCACAGCCAGGCGCAACAGCAACAGCAGCAGCAGCAGCAACAACACCATCATCAGCAACAACAGCAGCAGCACATGTACCACGCTGCAGTGGCTGCCCACCAGCAGCAGTTGTTGCAACAGCAGCAGCAGCAGCAACAACAGCAACAGCAGCAGCACCACCGCCAGCAGCAACATCACCAGCAGCAACAACAGCCCGCCTCCAACTCTCGCCACAGCCATGCGGCGGCGGCCCAAACGCAGGTCGCCGCCGCGGTTGCCAGCAGCAGACAACAACAACAACAGCAGCAGCAGAGCGCCAATGCCAACAGCAGCAACAGCGGCAACACGGCGCCCGCCGCCTCGCCACAGAAGGACTACAGCATCCCGTTGCACGTTGACTGCAGCGTGGAGTACGAGCTGCCCAACCAGCCAAAGCCGCCGGCGGGACAGCGCGTGGAGCCACTGCTGATGATCCACCCGTGCTACTTCCGCAAGATGGAGTCACAGCGGCGCAGTCCATTTGTGAACAACATGCAGGCGACGGCCAGGGCGGTCAGCAGCAGTGCCCTGAGCAGCGGCGCCGCCCTGGGAGGAGGTGGCAGTGGAGCGGCGGTGGCCTCGGCCCCCAGCAGCAGCGCGGCAAGACGCGGCGCCCGCCAGACCGTCGCCCAGCAGCAGCAGCAGCACAGCCAGGCGCAACAGCGACAGGTGTACCAGCAGCAGCAGCAGCAAATGCGGCAGCAGCATCAGCAAATGTCGCAGATGTCGCAGCAGGCACACTATCCTGTGCAGCAGCAGCAGTCTAGTCTGGAGCACGTGCGCCGTCAGCACAGCCACAGCCAGGCGCAGCAGCAGCATCAGCAGCAGCGCGCCAGCAGCAACCAAAGTCGCCAAAGCCAAAGCCAAAGTCAGAGCCATGCAGCCACCTCAGCGGCGGCAGCGGCCGCGGTCCAAGCCCAAGCCCAGGCCTCGATAGCCGCCGCGGCCGCCGGCCAATGGGACCAGCTAGCCGCGGCGCTGGCCGCCCGCACCGCCCTCACACCGCACCACATGTTGGCCGCCCACCCGCACCATCCTCCGGCCCAGTCGCTGTACGCCGCCAAGGGCAGCGGGGGCAACAGCAGCAGCAGTGCCGCCGCCTCCGGCAAACGGGACGCCATGATCTCCGGCAGCAACTACGGACAGACGGCGGCCTCCGGCGGCAAGCTGCAAGCACAGCAGCAGGCCCAGCAGCAGCAGCAACAGCAGCAGCACTGCCTGCCGCCACCCTGGGAGGCGACGTCCATGCTGATGGATCGGTCGCCAATGGCCACAGTTCCTAGTAATTATCAGGCCGGCCCTGACACCAATCCGATGCGCCTGTACTCTGCCACGCCCGCGACAGGGGCGGCAACAGGAGCGGCGGGTTCGTCGGCGGGCGGCGGCGGCGGTGGAAGCAGCGGTGGAGCGTCAACGGCTACGGACAAGCTGAGCGGCAAGTACCGGCAGTACTTGCGGTCGCAGCGGATGCATCCATATGCTTCGCTCAATCTGGCAGCCGCCGCCGCTGCCGCCGGCAACTTGGGTCAGACATCGTTTGTGCCCTTCAGCTCGGCGGCCACGGCGGTGGCGGCCACGCCCACATTCCAGCATCTGCCGCAGATCTCCTGCTACAACGTGTGATCATCAGGACAGGAGAGATCCGCAGGACAAAGGCAACAGCAACATAAGCAGCAGCCGAAGCAGAAGCAGAAGCAGTCGCACCAGCAGCAGCAGCAACATTAGCAACAGCAACGTGCAACATGCAACATGCAACATGCAACTGAGACAGGCGCCTACAAAGTACGCGTCGATGAAATAGCCGCCTCAAGGAATAACCAATAGATCCTCCCCGTAAACAGTAATCCCCAAAAAATATATACGCCCCCTCAAAGCTTTTAGAATCAAAAAGATCAAGAAGAATAATTAACTCTAAAAATATTAAGAACGAAAATTGAATTCTGTTTAGCTGCTACGAGTAATTGTTGTCACGATGAGAGAAGAGAAAACGAGCGATCCTTTTTTCTTTTTAGTAATGGTAGTAATTGATAAACGAAACAAAAACAAACAACAAAAAAATGCAAACTATTGTAGTGATATTTGTTATAAAATAATTTTAGTAATTAATTTAATTTAAATTAAACAACAACAAAAGAAGCAAGAAAATGCAGAAAACAAGAAGCTCTGTGTAACCAACCAACAGAAACAAGGCAAACAGTAAACAGTAAACAGTAAACAGCAAACAAACAACATAAACATGATCAGTAAAAAATAACATCCAAACAAAAACAACAAACAACTGCTAAAAATTACACTTACGCATATTCAAATTGAAATTCAGCAAAATGTTATAACGAACCATTATTGAAAGAATACCACAAATATGAAAAGTAAAAATTATTACCGAATGAATGAGAGAGAAAATAGAAATCAACATAAAACCAACACAAAAAAAACAAAAACAAATATGAATAAAATTATTCAAAATTATGCAACGTAATTTGAAGCGAGATATGCAAAAAATTAAGTAAATTGTGTTTTCAATTCGAACTATAGAAAGAGTCAGTCCAGGGAGCCAGGGAGCCAAGAGTACTAGTTAAAGTGATTTGGTTGCCGTCGGCTTTTGTAGATTACTTTTCACACTTCCTTTCCTCTGCCTCTGCCTTTGGCTGTCTTCTTGTCCGCCGTAATTTGATTTTCAGCTTTGCTCTCTGCCCCCATCCCGCCATTTCTTCCGTCTGCGGTGAGCTGTGATTGATTATTGTCATTGATGGAAGACCCGGACGGGGATGAAGAAATGTCCGCACTTCATAGTGGTCCCTCGCTAATTGGAAACCACGGTTCGAAATCCGTTTTGGGGGAAATCACAAAATTTCCACTGAAAAGGGGTTGATTCTTCAGTTACCCAACACCCTCTGATATAATCAGATACAAACCCTTGTAGACATTTAGCATTTTTATTACGTATACGCACTGGTGGTTGAAATACTTATCAGTGGCATTCCTTTTCAAAGCAATTTTTTTATAATGGGCCCGCTGTTTTCAGGTTTTTCACATTAGAAACATTTCTCAAACAAACAGAAACTGTAATACATTCATGTCGGGTCCCCTTCTTTCTGGCGAATAGCTCAATAGCTTGGGATTCTCTTTCTCCAGCGACCACTATAGCTAGGTAGATACCACAGGCAGGCCCATTCATTCCAACGGTATAATTCATTTGTTTTATCCATATGGCTCTAGTTGGATGGCTGATTCCCCTGTTTACGGCTTCACATAATGCTTTGTTTGGAGGCCATCTCACAGAATTGTCTAATGGCTTAGAGCCGAAGCCGGAGCTGGCAGGAAACGCGAGATGTTATCGCTAGAAATTGTTTAGCCCGGCCTCAAGGTCCCTTGGGGAAATGTGTGTTTTCCATTATTGATTACAGACCGGGGCGATAGAAGGCGGTTGGTTTCATGGGAACTGCGATTCCGGGAAGTAAATAAGCGATTAATTTATGCATAGGCCAGAGAGCCCCGCTGAGGATTCATCCCGGCAACCGGCCAATTAATTAAACCAAAAAACAGGCAAAACTTTCGGAATCGAAATTAGCGACATCCGCTCGACACAGACCATAAACTGAGTCATCCGCAAGCGAATACCCGCATGGGTCTGTCCTAAATCAAAACTAGTCCGTGTCTGCAACCGCGATAAGTCCATAAAACAAGGAATGGCGAAGAGACCTAACTAGAGCAAAAATAAGACCATTGACAGGAACTGGTCCAGACCAGAGCTGACGTTTGGCGATAACGCTAAAAAAAAACATTTCTTAAAAAACACAAACATAAATAAGCATTTGGAAGCTAAATATAGAATAGGAATGGAAAGCTTTATTGGACAATTATTAATTTAAATTTCGGTGATTGATGAAGATAGGTTTTAAGAATGCTCATAATTTATCTCAAAATAAATATAGCCCTGACAGATTTTGTAGTATTTTTAACAAGTTTTTAACCAGCATGCTCTAGATTTTGATTTAGAAAATGTCCCGACCTGTTGGAAAAATAGCCAATCGATCATCGCTTTCTGTAGAAAGCCGTCGAATCTCGTTCGGGCTATAAACAAGGCAGCTTCGCTCGTTTCCTGAATAGTGCCCCTGATTCCTCCCCTTGTCTGAATCACGGACTCCCTCCTGTTCCGTACACGTTCCGTTTTAAGATACGATTGCCATCTATTCATTTATTCAATTCATATTAAATTGGCCGTAGATTACGGACGGAAAAATATTTCAATTGCCGCCGGCGGCGTTCACACAAGTGTAATTAAAATATACTACAGATCGCTTCTACAGCTGACAGCAGCGGTTGTTTGTTTTCATTTCGTTTGAGCAATCAACTATCAGCTGCTGGGCCCATTTGCATGCTAGTGAGTGATTGAGTGAGAGCTACGTCTGCCCCCCATTGCTGCCCCAACCGGCACGACGAGGTCATCGCCATTGTCGTCACTCATACGCCCCGTACGCCCCGCATGGGCAGGTGGCGGTGGTGCTCGTCTGGCATTAGTAAGCTCAATTGAGGCTGCACTTTGGATTCACATTCGCATTTGATTTGATTACTGTTCCATGTGTGGGCATCTGAGATAATGTCCCTCAAGTGGCGTACTTGAATGCTTTCGCTTATTCGACATTTTTCGCCCCGACTGGAATGAGCTCAGTGATGTTCGAGTGCTTAGTTTGAGGGCTGTGGCCCGTGTGATTATATTATTTTTCTGAGAGTTTATCACAAAAGCAGGATGAATGAAAATTTTAATGAAGGCCTATCGCAACTCAAATGAGTAATTGTTAGTTTGCCTTTTGAGTAAACATTTTACTTAAGTTCGGGAATGGAGATGTATCATTTTCAATTATCTGAAAATAAATTGCAATAAAACCTGCCAGATCCTGAAAGCCAGTTGAATGCCAGTTTCCATAGACATATCCGATTAATAGCTCTGCTTTTAGTTTGGGTCGACTTTAGTGGAAGCCATTTAGAGCGGGAGAGGTCAACTAAAAGGTTTTCTTCTCTAATTGACTTTATTTAGACGTGTTTTTTTTCTGTTGTGTGCCTTTGAGCGGAGAACAGCTGCCATTTAAAAGTCATCAACAGATAAATAAACCCAATAATGGCCAGCAAAGGCAAACAGAAAGCCAAGTAAAACAAAAACTGAACCAGCAACGGAAAAACATGCAAATAAAAGGCTTGAACAGAAAAAACAGAAACACTCAAATGAAAGAGTGGGCACGGGCACCGGGCAACCGACCCGGGCCCCCTACTCGGGCCCCAGTCCCCAGCACCCAGGGGCGCTGAGTGGAACAGTTAGTTATTTTTACATTCAAGTCGGGAATGCACACACAAAAATAACGAAAATTGTTCAAAATGAAATGACGCAAAGCGCATTAAACAAAGTCCGCACTGGAGATAAAAAAGAGTAATACAAAGCCAAGTGGAAACGGCGACGGCAGTTGTCAAGCGCCAACCAAAAAAAATACAATTCAGGGCAAAAAAAACACACACACAGCGTCGGAAGCTGTCTAACCAAACATTGTCTGTGTGGGCGGCTAGTGGGCGTGGCAGGAGCAGGAGCAGGGGCCGGGGCCGAGGCCGAGGCTAACTTACCCAGTGCGGGCGGTGGTAGGGGCAGGGGTGTGAGCGAGGACTTTCGCGTTGAGGCTGGTCATAAAGTTGATATTTACGAGACGGAGGGGACTCCACTCCCAGCTCCCAGACATCGGAGACACAAGCTCCGATGTAGACCGAGACTTTGGGCCTAGGCAACCGGTTTTGTTGTTGTCGGCGTCGTCATCGTTTTTTGCTTCTTCGTTTTTTTTTTTTGGGTCAACTTCAATCTGCTGCCAAGCGCGCTACATCATTTCTGACATAATTAAAACATTTTTAGCATGCAAAAAAAAGATATAAACTTAAAAAAGAAGCAAGGAGAAAAGAAATAGGAAAAAAAAAACTAATTTAAATATTTTCTAGGCTTTCGGAAATTATTATGCCACTCTTCCAGCCCCTCTTCGGCACTCGGCCGATGATTGTTAAGAGCCATAAATTAAGTGCGAATAAAAGTAAATAATTATTTATGCCAAATGATAAGACAGAGCGAGAGGGGCCGAGTGAGAGAGTGAGCGACAGATTTAATAAGCTTTAATTAAAAAATATAACAGATCAGATAAAAACGAATGCAAATATATGTATTATATTGTCGGGCAGTAGCTGTAACTAATTAGCATAATTTATATGCATGAATGCACAGCTTGGCTTGGGTTAGAGGGAGATGGCTTGCTCAGCGATTTAAACAGCGGCTTTAAATAAATTACAAAATAAATTATTAATTAAAAAGGCAAATTGACGGCGCTTAATTGACCCTCTCATTCCCACACCGCGTGCGGAAGATCAACCCAAATTATAAATATAACCTATTATTGTGTTCAACGATATGCAAAAGCCAAGCCCAAAAACAGCTCGCCAACTATAAATAATTAAGCTCGAATATAGATGGGGATTTCGCTTTTAGACCGGGCTTAGTGAGTAGATTTTGGCCAAATTGCGCTGACTCAGCCACGTAGATGATGTCAAAAGCTATTTGTCATTGATTTCTAAATTCTCACTTGTACTTGGTGTTGGTGGGAACTACCATACATTAATTCGAGTTTCGGATTCGAATGGCACTATAATTGTAAAACTACTCTAGCCACTCTTTTGCGTAATTGTGAAAACTTTTGGCTGGCCCAGAAGTAGTTAACAGAGTCATTGCACAGCCAAAGTCAAATCACTTAAACCGCCTTTCAATGGAGCAAGACTTGCCTTTGCTGCCTAGAGACAGCTAGCTAGCGAGAGGGAAGGTCAAAATGCTTTCAAAAGGCCTATGAAAACGATAAAAACTCAACTTGAACTACAAACTTTAGACTTGGCCAGGCAACAAACATGACAACGTGTAAAACTAGTTAGCAAGCGCAAAAATATGTACACAAGCTAAATATACTCACACGAAAAAAAAAACAATTAAAAGCCTTATCGCTTACAGCTGCCTAAGTGCATATGAGGGTACAGTGCGGTTCGAGGCTATAACTCATGGCTATAAAACCTCCATAAGAATTCTTAACCGAGCTTAAAGTTAGCACACACTTAAATTAACTTGCATCTTATTTACAACCAAACTTATTTCCTATTAACCTATAGTTTTGAATAGCACTGTATGGGCATTAACTATGCCCCGAATACATAAGCATAAACATAAGGTAAATCATAAACATTAGGTAGAAACCACTAAAAAATAACAAAGAAACAAGTAAAATTTCGTGTCAGATGTTTTGAGGGGGAAATGAAATAGTTACCGATATGGAAACAGATACTGTATATAAAGTAAGGGACGGTGAAGTTCAGATGAAGCAGTAATTTGGACGAGAGTGTGAGCTTGTCTAGGCTAAGCAATTAAACTCCACTCGAAACTGGGCCGCGACTTGGCCGTAGACACGAACATGCCAAGATAGATGATAAACGTGTATA